AGCTCTCTGGTGTTTTAAAGACCACTTTTATTTCATTGGCAAAGGTTTAGTAACAACAGAGCATAATTAATACACATGTAAACCTTGCATAATCAGTCTTTGTTTTGAGAGTTTTTGATAGTTTAAAGTATTTCATTTATCTGACTTTTTTGTTTATTTATTTGTTTGTTTGTTTTAAGGGCTGGGTGATTTACAAGCTATTGATTTAATTCCAGTTTGAAGCTGATTTAATTTAGAGTCATTTGGGCATGCTTATATAAGCCCAAAAGACCTGTAATCAAATAATAATATTAATTGTTATTTTAAATTTATTAAAATATTCCATTATCAAAAATAATGATATCTTAATATCTTTATTGCATTGTATTGTTTTTTGCTCATTTACCGTGAGGAATGTGAACAATAGCATTGCATTTTGGGGCATTTTGGCACCATTTTTTGCTATATTGACATGAATGATACTTGGTATGTCATACTGTAGTATGCATTACTTTTTTATGTGATGTATGATTATAACCTTGAGTATGATAAAATTGGAAAATCCAATTGGAAACTTCCATTGATGGAGGAACCTTTGCGTTGAGGTCATGACTCATGATTGAAATCATGTTGAGTTTTCACTTGTAGTATAGCATTCTAATAGTATGTAGTTTTAAGCCCAAGTCCACTGCTGCTGAGTCAGTACTCTGGATGTAGATGGTGATGGCGTTCATGGAGCAGGGCATGTTCTCCATATCTGCTCCCAGCATCATCTCATTGACTTGCTTCAGTCATGAACAGCTACTGGAAATTGCTTCTTTCTCCCACATAAGGGTAGTGCATCGGTTAACAGCATGTTTATTATGTTCACTCTGTGCTCTTCCTTAGGCTTCTGGATTCTCTGGGCTTATCTATGATTTAAGCTATTGTGGGTGACCTCAAAACGACGAAGGCCACCTTAGAGGGCAAGGACGGAGGGCAAGGGATTCTGGGACAGTGACACAAATGCTTGAGTGACAGCACAGTTTCAGGGGTAAAAGCATAGGAAGAAAAGAAGCAAATCAAATTGCTTTAATTGCAGTGGTCAAAGGTTGCACCATGGTTTGAAAGTAAAATAATTATAACAATAATAAAATGCATATACAGTATAAGTAAAAAAAAAAAAAAAAAATATATATATATATATTACAAATTGTATTTATTTATTTGAGTTTAAATTTGATTTTGAATACCAGATTGTTTTTATGTGATCTAAGATGTAGAATAAACATTCTGGACCTCACTCTATATGCATATATTTTGTTACGCCTTCTTATTGGCATAAACCTATATACTGTTATTCAAACAATACACAAACCATTTAGTCTGGCCTCAAAGAGGTCTACAGTTCGAGCTCTCTGGACTGTAATTGAGACATAAAAGCTCATTCATTCAGTTCCGCTTCGTACAGCGGAGCACCGGCGGCTGAATTTGCATGCTGACGGGAAGGTTACTTTCAGATGCACTACGACTGCTGCGAGCTGTCATCAAGGATCTCATATTCAATCAGTGCAGCTTAATGCATTACAAGCAGTCGTAGGAAATTTTAATGAGAGTTCCTAATTAGCCAATAGCGAAGTCATAATCACTTCAGAAACAAATTAAGCCATGGGTATTTTGGAGGATAAATGTTCTGCCACTGTCCACACAGCCATGGCCTTTTTAATTTAAAGCCATCATGCTCAAAAGTGGACTGACCAGGTTTTGTTACGCTGCTAACCTTTGATTTATCAGAGTACAACTTAGTGGTAGACTTTTTTTGTGTGAAGTATGCATCAGATGGTCCTATAGAATACAACACTTGGGGTACCAAAGAAAAAAATCTAATTAATTACACTGCCGTTCAAAAGTTTTGGATCAGTAAGATTTTTCATGTTTTTTAATGGAGTCTCTTGTGCTCATCAAGGCTGTATTTATTTGATCAAAAATACAGAAAAAACTGTAATATTGTGAGATATTATTTCAATTTCTAATATTGATTTTCTGTTTTAATATACTTTAAAATGTAATTTATTTCTGTGATCAAAGCTGAATTTTCAGCATCATTACTCCAGTCTTCAGTGTCACATGATCCTTCAGAAATCATTCTAATATGCTGATTTATTATCAGTGTATATATATATATATATATATATATATATTAGTAGTTATTATTATATGTGCATATTTTGCAACAAATGTAAAATATGTTGTTTATATTTGTGGAAAAATTATGGAAAAAATGCTTTCAGAACCGTGGCAGCTAAAAAAGGCTAGTCATCATGCATTTGACCCAGCTGACCCCTTCCCTCATTATGACATCATGAAATGGCATGTACTGTGAGAAAGGGTCTTTCATTTAGTTCCATGTTCTGTTTTCACTGTTTGTTAGCAGCTGTGTAAGAGCTCGGTGGCATGTTTATCACACCCTGGTCTTTTTTTGCAGAATCATCTAAAAGGTTTTACACATACATCAAAATTTGTCCTCTGAAAGGCAGACGGTTTCACAGAATGCAGCATCTTTATGCTTGACTGTGGACGAACACGAATCCCGCAGCTTCGCCCAGAAGGATGCTGGCAAACATTGTAATGTGGAAAAAGAAATCTTTAACATCCTGAGCAAAGTGACACCACTGCAGTTTTTTTCCTCCCTTGAGCTCTACGAAGGAAACATCACAGGCACATTGAGGCCACAGTTGCCATTTGATTGATGTGTCTAACTGCCCATCTAGAAGGACTTTGCCTCCGGAGGCTGGCCTCTGTGTTGAAGCGCAGAATCGGTGGCTTTGATTGGCTGTGCTGGATGGTTCATCCAAATGTGTGTGTAACTGATTTTTTTTCTCGCTGTTCGACACTATTATTCAGTCTCGTCTGTCTCACTACCTACTGTTTAGAAACTATCTTGACATTTCAAGTGATTGTGACACTTGTATATTGCTAAAAATATTCTTATTTTGTTTCACACTTTTTTCCCCCTAGTAAATATGCATTAGCTCAGGGGAAATATGCACATGCTCCATATTTTGTAATGCTGCGTTAAAAAGTGGACTCATTCATCATGTAAAAAGTCACTTTTATGACTCATTTTTCTATCCCCCAACCAAACAGATTAATTTCTAATATTCCTGCACATACATTCACGCCAAGAAAAATCATTTATTTTGAGAAATCGGTGCTCAGAATAGCTGCTGATGTCTGATGGTAATCAACCACATATTAATTAAGGCACAATTGCTGAGTCAATGAAAGAGGCTGGTTAAATATTGATGTGTCTAAAAGGCCCATCATGGGAGACGGACAGCCAGGGTGATGGGACGGCGGCCACAGGCACAGTTCACGTCCTCTTATAGCAGCGGTGGGCTGAGTGCTAGATCAATGGGAGCTGTGCTTTGGTGTTGAATACAGAGAGAGAAACTCTAGTTCTTTCTCTGCAGCATCCAGCAAGCGTGGCGTTCATGCACGGCAAATGTGTAAAGCTGACAAGCTCATTAGCAGCTTTGCCATCACAGTCAGGACACTCTGATGTATATAGAGAGCTTTTAGTTTACTGTCAGTTTATGACTTGATCTAGATCTCAGTTGTGGTTATTAAAGTTACTTTAAGGCAATTTAGTACACTCAGTGGCCATATCTGTACAGTCTCCAAGCAGCTTTTTACCAGTCATGCACAGATTTTGAATGGGGAAAGGCCAGAATTGTTGCTCAAATAACATTTCAAATCAAGGTTAAAATTTGACAACAAATGTATCATGAAATGTTTTTTTTCTCCCACAAATCATGCAAAAACGCTGCCAATTCGAAGGCAATATTGCATACTATATATCTTTTATTGAGAGGGCAAAAATACATCTTAAACCAGCTGAAACTGGTTTGGTAGTCCTATCTGCTCTCAGGCTGGTCTGTTTTTGGTTTTAGAGAGGTTTGGACACTTATCAGCTGGTTAGCCACCAAATGAATAAATCAGCCAAACACCAGCTTGGCCAGACTAGAGCTGCTTAAACTAGATAAGAATGGTTGACCTAAACTGTTTTTCCCCTAGCAGGGAGCTCCAAATATCCAAAATGATTCATGAAATGAGAGCAATGTTAATAATTGTTTTTGTAATTCACTGTGTAGAGCAAAGCGATAGTTCACCCAAAAATTAATTACTCACCCTCATGTTGTACCAAACCTGTGAGACCTTCATTTATCTTCGGAACACAAATTAAGATATTTTTGATGAAATCCGAGAGCTTTCTGACCATCTGACTTGCATAGACAGCAATGGAAACCTATATACAGAAGACAAGAAATTGTTGAATAAAGTCATTATTTTTGTTTTCTTTGCACACAAAAAGTATTCTCGTAGCTTCATTAAATTACGGTTGAACCACTGATGTCACATGGACTATTTTAACAATGTCCTTACTTCCTTTCTGGGTCTTGAACTTGGTAGTTACGTTGCTGTATGCAGGGTCAGAAAGCTCTCGGATTTCATCAAAATATCTTTATTTGTGTTCTGAAGATGAACGAAGGTCTTATGGGGTTGGAACGACACCAGGGTGAGTAATTAATGCCAGAATTTTAATTTTTGGGTGAACTATCCCTTTAAATTGATCACTTCCATCTTAGAATTATGACTTTGCATGAAACTATGTAGACAGGTAGCAAAGCTCAAGGTTTGTGTATGTTTTATTCAGACTGTTATCTTCTCTCTGCATTGCACCTACAGGTAACATGGGAAGGAATGACCTCATACACTGCTACATAAACACAAACACACATGGCAATGGCATGTTTTATTTATAAGATGTTGTATGTAGTCTATATGGCTCCATTTACACCTCAGCCCTGAACGGGTTGACTGAGAGGCAACAACAATGAAACAGCTGGCGTGCTGAGATATTTCCATTTATGTTCAGATAAACCTTTGTTAGAGCGTTTCTATGTAGTTTCACTGCTGATTGTATAGAGTGGTTGTGTGTGTGGCATATTAAAACAGATTTATTGTTTTGTGTTGCATAGGTGTGTGTGCATGAGTGTGTCTGAAGATGGATCCGCCTGTTCTCCCGAGTCTACTATTTGGGCCAAAGCAATCCTGCTCTCTCCTGGGATGGCCCTGAGAAGGAGACACATAAATAAAGACATTTTACTTCCCTTTTGGAATGGCTTGGCCATTTTTTGTGAGTACATACTGCACTGAGCAGTATATATCCAAGTATAGATTCCCTCACCGCTAATGGGCTCTTAGCGCTTCTAAAATCCACCCTAGTCATGCTTCGCTTTGCAGGGTTGTTTTACCACACAAAGACACAAGGCTTATGGTAATGTTAACTAAAGACTTTGTCGATTAAGTTACAGTAACAGGTCTAGACTCGCTGCTGATTGCAGGCGGTTTGTGACACAACCAATCAGCTTGATTGATTGGCTCTCTCTGCGCTCTCAGGCAAGCTGATTGGCATGTTAACGACATCAGCATGGAAAGCCGCAAAGTCAGGCATGCGTTTCATGACAGTTAGCTGACCGCCCTAAATGTTTTAGGTCATCTTGTGGAGTTTTTTTTGTGGGTAAGATGCTTAATTTGTTTCTGCTTTAATTGATCACACTGCGCAGTTCGTGAAATACTGATCTTTTCTGTGTATGTGGCCCAGTACAAGCTTGATCGATGGAATGATATAATCCAACAAACCCTTCAGCCTTCAAATATAGTCATAGACAAATACTGAAAACCCTTAAAGAGTCAATTAGATGGTTAAATGATCCATCGGAAAGATAAATGCATAGCACAACGTAAAAATCCATCAGCATCAGTCCCAGCAAGGCAGGTAATTGCATTAGCCTTTGAGTGGACCCATCTGTCCGTGGCTAGTGTGAATCCTGACTCGTGAAATAATAAATCAGCGGAAAAGCAAGTCTGTCAGGTGTTTCGCAGACTCGGACCATGGTGATTTGCGTGCCGTGGGGTCCTCTACTACCTTGAGCGTGCAAGCATGTCAACAACAGATGCTTTTTGTCTCTTCGTCCCCCACGGCTTGTCTTTTGTTTGTCCTTGACAGCTGAGAAAGCATGAAGGATTCCCTTTGTTCAGTCAAGTGCAGTCGCTAACTATTGCGAGACACCTTCCTTCTGATAAATGGTTTGGAAATGGACGCACAGAGTCAGTGAAATCGTCACGATTTCCTCTTCGGCTAGATTCTGTTGTAATGAGCATTTATATTCAGTTGTTAATTAGCAGAAAATCAGTGTTCTGTATTCTTTGCTGTAACATTGCTTTTTGTCTAGCCACTCATATTTATAACGAGAGACAGGAAATGGTGGCAGGATGAGGTGTAATAGGATTGAAATAAATGAGAATGTTTGGTCTCTTGAATTTTGACCATTTCATGCTCTCGGCCGGTCAGGTTTGTGGGCATGTTACATGACCTGTCCATGCTGGCATCTATCTCAAGTGCCTTACACTAAATGACATACATTGCCGTTCGAAAGATTGTGGATTTTGTTTAATTTTTTTCTGGAAAGACATTAACACTTTTATTTAGCATTAAAGGGATAGTTCACCCAAAAATTAAAATTACCCCATGATTTACTCACGCTCAAGCCATCCTAGGTGTATATGACTTTCTTCTTTCAGACGAATACAATCGGAGTTATATTAAAATATGCTGTAGCTCTTTCCAGGCTTTATAATGGCAGTGAATGTGGGTCGAGATTTTGAAGCCCAAAAAAGTGCATCCATCCATCATATAAAGTACTCCACATGGTTCTGGGGTGTTAAGAAAGGCCTTCTGAAGTGAATCAATGCAATTCATATTTAAAACTTTATAAACCATAATCTCTACACTCTAAAAATGCTGGGTTGTTTTTGGGTCAGATATGGACTAACCCAACTTTTGTTAAAGTTGCGTTTTTCAAAAAGTTGGGTTTTGTTAAAAATTTAATGTAAAAATTTAACCCAACAGCTGGGTTAGTCCATATTTGACCAACAGTTGGGTTGAAACAACCCAGCATTTTTTAAAGCGTAGCTTCCACTAACTGTCGTACGCACGTTCACAAGAACATGGCGTTCCAGCTTATGTTGTAGGCGTACCATAAGCTCCGGTGAGAAGTGACGAACAAGGAAGTATAGAGAAGAGAGCGAAACGAAACACCGGTTACGAATTAGAAGTACAAAACGAGGATTTGTAAAGAAAAATGTTGGAGAATTTCGATATAAGCCAAGAGGAGACTGGTTATCCTTTGCTCTAAACAAAACTTGATTCTCGCGACACTAGCATATTTTCACACTACGCCTATATCCTACGTCATCTGCTGGAATGGATGGAAATAACCTTTTTTTTTTTTTTTTTGGAAGATGCCATCCAAATTACATAGATGCCAGTGTATATTATTATATTTTGTATGATAAAAATGTAAAATCTGGGTTTTGGAGCAAAACAAGTGAGTTACCTTACTATCATGTTAAAAAAGGCCCTATAAAATAAAGCAGAATAATTGTCCCTACACTTAGCATGTGTGGCGCTTTGTCAGAAAGCTAATCCTTTCGTACTGTCTCCATTATGCTCGGCCTCATTCCTCATTGCAAACAAGCGCTGCCGTCTATTGATCAGGACCTGCCACAAAACTGATTAGGCACCTCTCCCTGCTCTCTGACTGCCATATCAATCCTACCTACTCCACCACCATCAGCTCATATAAAGCTATCAGCTGACGCTCTGCATTAACTAGCACAGAGCGCTTACATTAGCTGCTACAAATGAAGGTGAAGGGGACATATTTTTTTTTAGCCCAAGGCTGCGTACGTATGTAATTAACTCATAATCTCTCACAGGAATTGTTTTTAATCACCTTCCGCTTCCATTAACTTGTTTATTTTTATTGCGTTACCATTTTTGCGAATTTTTGGAAGGGCATTTGGTGTGGGCCGGGTTAGTCAGTGTGTGTGTTTACGCTGTGTTGTACAAAGGAGTTAATATGGTACTGTTTGCATGTCTCTGGGTTTCATGTGGTCCATATGGTGACTACTGAGATACTGTGGGGGAGAGAAAAAAAGCAGAGAGAAAGTAAGTGGTATGATGGCCAGCACTAATGAAACAGCCCCTGCAGTGTAGACACACAGCTACCTGTGCCGATTCATTGGATGACTCAGACAGCACACATCCTGTGAGACGGCCTGATATGGAAGAGAGCTCCAACTGAAATCACTCTACTATATCCTGCTCATTAACTTCAGTTATACACACTTATTCAATGGCCGGAAATGAAACACGCAGGGTAATGAACAATATGCACAGCACTGTGTACTAATAATTTTAAAAAGCATTTAGATTGTAATAAAGTTCAGATATTATTAAAGGCCCTTGCAAAGTTCCAAACCTGTCTAAGTTTCCTGTAATATGGTAGTCATAACTTTATAATTATTATGATCACATAATAATTATTATTTATTATTATATTATATATAATATCATTACAATTTAAAATGTTTGGGGTCTGTAACATTTTAAAATGTTTTTGGAAGAAGTTGCTTATGCTCACCAAGACTACATATTTTATCAAAAATATAGTAAAAACAATAATATTGTGAAATGTGATTAAATTTTTTAATATACATACATTTTTATAACCGTTTTCTATTTGAATACCTTTTGAAATGTAATGTATTTCTGTGCTGGCAGAGCTGAATTTTCAGGATCGTTTCTCCAGTCTTCAGTGTGACAATCCTTCAGAAATTATTCTAATATCCTGATTTGGTGCTCAAGAAATATTTCTCATTATTAATTTTTATGCGAGCTGTGCTGCTTAATATTTTTGTGAAAACTATGATCCATTGTTTTCAGGATTCTTTGAATAGAAACACAAAAGAACAGCTTTTATTTGAAATAGAAATATTTTAACACATTCATTTGATTAAGTGTGCCATTGCTTAAAGTATTAGTAATTTCTTTAAAAATACTTTTAAAAATAGTGTATATAAAAAGCATTAAAATTATCATTATTTTTATTACTACCTCAGCCACTACTACCACAACGACTACTACTATTAATTTAATATTTTAATGTTATACAATATTATTAATAATGACAAAGGTAATATTGTACATAATTATTATTATGTCTTGAGTGTGCTGGTTTGGAAATGTAAATGTATAATGCATATAAAGAACACATTATTTCTCCCATACATTTATAACCAGTTAATATATTATTGTTTTAATATTAACTGTTAGTTTAATGGTGGTCTTGATGATGACCATTTTAGACATATAAATGAGATAATTCCATATAGGGATTACTATTTTATGGATTTATTTGTCAAGTCTTTATTTTGTCACATTCACTGTGCAAGAATACATCGACAGTTCTATGCTCTAAAAGAGGTTTACACAGAGCTCCAAGACACGCTGTGACTACAACAGCAATTGAATATTTCAGGATGTTAAAAATGTCAGACGTCTGATGTCATGCAGACTGCTGTCACAATTACATAACTGTGTAGATTTATTTCTCTGAGGTGAATATAAACATCATATTTCCGAAAAGACAGGCTCTAGTACATGTTTGTATTTTTCCATATTATCTGCTGGTGGAGAGACAGAAATGGGCGGTGCAGACAGGCAGCTTGTACTTGTTTTCTCAGTACCTACTTATCTTACTTAACTGAAATCCAGTTGGTTTTGCTGAAATTGTGTAAACTGTGTTGTTTGAGAATCATGAGTTTGACATTGCAACGTTGGCTTAACCAATGATGAGAGTTGGGGTGGGACTGTTCGTACAAACCAATAGCAGAAGGGGGCAGTGTCCGGGAAACCTGTCTGGAAACAATCTTTAGCCGCTGTATGGCTCAGAAATTGTGAGTTAACATTAATCCAGGGGTCTGTGATTGATATAGTCCATTATTATGCCATCCCTAAGAAGTTTTACATGTCCACAAACGGAGACAGTGCCTTATGATCGTCTGTTCTAAAGGTAGCCAGTCAAATGACAGGCCAGCAGCTGTCCTGTCGATGTAGATGGCTGTAATTGAGGCAGAACTATGCAGGGAGAGAATGCAGAATGAGGGGGGGGGGATGCGTCTGTCTCTGGAGGGTGTGATCCTGCGTAATTCCCACCTAGCTCCACTCGGC